ACACGTGACATTTATTGTCCTATAAACCTCTTTTCACTTGGACAACGTTTTTGGGATCGACTGTATAACATTAACAGTGACTACACACCAACCAAGGCCATCCCCTAAAAAATTTCATACAAATTAGCAAAATCACGATTGAGAATTTAAACAATATAATCTGTACACAAAGAGTGCTCACACTAAATCCGTGAAACAAATACTAATTTTTAGCACTAAATAGTGACAATCAAACAATAGAAAACAAAGGATTCTGCATGAAATAGTACTATTTAATGTTCACGGTTTTAGTGCGTGCACTCTATATATTTAACATCCTTAAAAGCATATATTTTACTTTATACGAGTACATGTGTACGATCAGGAGAACACAATTAATTTGGTAACTATRATTACACAGAGTAATTTTCATCTAGGCCCTTCTAGATCGAATGTCTGTATTTAGAAGTGTTTCCATAACAYTTCCAGAAAGCAAAAAGTTTTGAAGGTCATGTGCCTATGGAATGTCATGGAAATGCAGTGATTGACATTAATYGCAACTGACTTTGTTACGAYGGCAAATTGTACAATTTAGGGTTGCAATTGCAAAGTTTACTATCAATGAAATCAGACTGTCAGATCATAATGACCTATTTACCTTTTCTCTTCTCTTTTTTTCTTCAAGTTCTTTTTCTCTAAAAGTTCAAATACAGTTTTTTGCTGGTGAGATGGAATAATCCAAATTACACAGGCTTTGGAATTTACTCATTTATTTTTATTTGTTATTCTTATTTGTTATTTATTTGAAGCAACCCTTCAATTTAATAAATCAATAACTAGATTAATTAATAATACATGAACACAATTTATTTATTTATTTATAATCAAAAAGAGAGAAAGGAAAAGAAAAAGAAAGAAAAGACAACTTATTGAGCATTCATTCAACGGAAGCTTTGCAATTGTTTCAAGACCCTGGAGACTAGTTTAAGGCTTATGATTGGYCGAATCTTGAGCAATAGACCTCTTCGGCTTGAGGTAATGTTTTCCTATTTCAGATCATGTGTCATTCCCTTGAGAATAAAATTCTTTGTTTGAGTGCATCCATATTCATGTGTCTTCTCATGTGCTACCCAGCGCAAACCTTAAACAAAGAAATGATACTCTAGGGAATGACACGTGGTCTGAAATGGTCAGAAAACGTCAGAGCCGAAGAGGCCTATTCAGTAATCAATAAGAAATTAATCCAGTGTTCTTACCAGGCCGTGCCATTGCGGGATTCGCGCATAAAAAACAGTAATGGCGCACAAATGTCAACTCTRTGCGCCCCCAAGGGCGCATTAATTATCCATAGAATTTTTCCTGATAGTTTTAAAAGATTTATAGTACTTTTGAAATAATAAAAGTCGCATCATACTGTCAATAAACAAGGTGAAAGTCCACATGAAACGCCACGAATCGAAACATAGCCGCCATCTTGTATTCCCTTGCCAAGAGGWCTGGGACTATTCTGTGTTAACTGACCTTGTTTATTGAAGTCTCAAATTCTATTGTGTTGTCATTACTAATAAAACTGTCTTACATTGTTGTAGATTTGCAACAGAGTTACTGGCTAAAAACATTATTATTCTTTGTTTTAATATTTTGGAAATGGCCCATCCAGTTTTCTAAATGGTCCCTAAATTTTGGATTGGTGGGYCCTTTGACCCCCTGAAAGAAATTCCTGGTCAGAACAATGAGAATCAGGATTTTTTTTGTCAGAAATAACAATTAAAATCTGCATTTCAAATAAATTCAACTCGCTAGGATATGCTAATTAATATATCTGCACTATTCCACTATATACCATTGCACTATAATATTTTAAATCATTTGATCTTACACTGTACTTACAATCTTTTCTTTTGTTTTTTGACATAAGGTTGTACTGCTTCCTCCTTTTCCTCCTCCAGCTCCTCCGGCACATCACATGACCTCCACTGTTTCTCAGGATGGTCATAACAGTACCATTTTTCTGGAAGATCTTCAGACTTGACAGAAGCAGGTAGCTTTCTCCATTTCAGACATTCTGGATTATCACACTGAACCCACAACTGATCAGGCACAGACCTTAAGGGTATATATATATGTTATTTACCGGCCAGGAGGTCGGGATAGGGAAAAACTATGCCCGAGGTCTTGAATATACGGACCGAGGCCCGTTTTGAAGACCAAGGGCACAGTTTTTCCCCATCTGGACCGACTATAGTAGGACAATAAATAACTTATTATTTTTTTTCCATATTTTTTTAACTTGTTTTTGTAATTGTTTTGTGTTGCAGTTTAGTGGCAAAGGATACCGGACCGTGTGCGCAGGCAGATACTGACAAAATACAGCCCACTCAAACAGCCAATCAGAACGCAAGATTTTTTAGGATACTGGACCGGAAAAAATAATCTTATTTGCGTTTTGGTCTGACTGTTTGGTCTGGTTTATGATATTCCATGATTTCGGGAAACTAGTGATGCAATAYTTTTAATACTTATAATAATTCTACCTAAAGTGAATAGTTGAATGGTGAAATCTTTCTTTATGTCCAGTGATTTGTAATTTTAGAAATAAATATTAAAGGGGCACTTGSATGAAAACTCGGACCCCAATTTTTGAAAGTCTGAATAATTGAAGTATTTGAGGATAATATGACTCAATTATGACTATGTRAACATGATTAGTGAAGATTTTAGCCTGGGAGTCACTTGCAGATGAGAAATTTTGGTTTAAAAGCAAAAACAACAATAGGGTTGAGTAAATGACGTCATCTACTCACGATTTAGATGCTGAATAAAATTGATCATTTATATCCCCTACTTTTTACTGCGAAGAAAATATGTTGCTTGGCTACTATCTGGGCCATATAGATAAGTTTAAACAAGTTTCAAGTCATTTCCAATTTTCATCGATTTTCATCCAAGTGCCCCTTTAAATACAGAGTTCTGCACTACTTACTCAACCTCCTTTGGTTCTGGAATAAGTGCATTGCTGTTGGTCTGTGCTTTTCCTTTCTTCTCATTCCTAATAACACAAAAATATATAAATCAGGGATCTTTAGTAGCACTTACAATGTAGACTCCTGTACGTGTACTGCCATCTTTCATTCTGTCTATCCTTTTCTGTGAGTCCYTTCCATAGTGTCTGGAGAGGGAGACATTCCCCATTGCTCTAATTAAATGGTTTTTTTTTCCTTTTGTTAAACTAACAAACAAAAAACAACACTTTTTTAAGTGCTCCAACCTCCGGCTTTGAATTCTCTGTTCTGCTGCAGGGTTAGTCTCAATTTTGTATGCAATTACTTTGAATATATGTGTCCCACGAAGGTCTGTGAAATTGCAAAGTGTTTGTATTATTGAAGTTGTTTAATTTACTGTAATTGGCATTTAGATACTGAAATAAGGCTGACCTTGTATGAATGATCAAGGAGCACAGAATTATTTGAGGAATTCAAAACAGTTTATTTTTTGATGCTAACATCACTTACACTTCCTGCAGTGTACTTTATTTCTGAATGGAGCAAAGAAAAAAAGCTGGATTTTCCCCTAGTTTAATTTAATGCGTGTGCACACATGCCATATGGTTTGATTGCATTTTTCTTTGTGAATTGTAACATTTTTCATTTCCCTGAGGATGGCCCAGTATAGTAGGCCAAAAGCTCGGATCATATTYATTAAATTTATGGTTGATAAGACAAACTATTATCAATGGTTTTTTTTGTTTAGTTAAAAACCAATAAATTCCACAATATATCTATTCTCATCCTCACCAGTAATCATTTAGCTTTGATCCAAGGGCACTCATACTTGATCTATAAACAAATAAAGAGGTTCACATTTATCAGAGATCAATTTATTTTCCAAATATACAATGTAAATAACCATTCACATACTACATGTAAGCATCCATCCAATCTAACCATCCAGGATTTCCACAGAGAGTTGAATACCAAGAACAGAGGCAATAAGCCATATAGATTTTTTTTTAAAAGACATAACTAGGTAAAAACTAGTCACAGGAAAAAAACCGGATTCCCAAATTAGGAATTYGTTGAGAATTTCCTTGAATTCCCACGAATTCCCATCCAATTCCCAGAGAGAACGAAATTGAGAACGTGGCACTGATTCCCAATGTTAGTTTGTTGGGAATKTTGTTTTTCTATTGGGTATTAGAAGGAAATTCCCAACAATAAATCCCAACGTTGGTGTTCGAATTGGGAATTCAAGGAAATTCCCAACAATTCCCAACTTGTGAATCCGGTTTTTTCCCTGTGGTGAGCTGCATCGGTGTTTCTAATGTAAAAGTATAATGATAAAAAGGTAAATTATGCACCGTGAAAAGATGAAAAAATTTACTGATGTTTCGGACGCTACTCCTTCATTGGAGTAAAAGAGTAATTTAATTTACCTTTTTTTCATTACTGATACATTTTTTTAGGGAAGAACTGGGTGGAGTTGATATTGCCTCTAATTCTGGGAGCATTTTAGTGGGCATATTTTCAAGATGGCATTTATTTTGCCTTTAAAACATTCCAACAATTYACTGCAATTACAGCTCAACCAAGTTTTTTTCTTAACCTTGTAATGTCTAAACCAGCTGAGTGGTGAACCCGGCACGCAAAGCATGAATGGACARAATGACCGGCCTTAAAGCATTTTTGGAGCTTGAAAGAATGAAGGAAATGTGGCTCTAAAAAGTGAATTTCTTTTATTCTTCCTTTCCATATTTCTGCTACTTGTAGCACTTATATATCAAGTCAATTTTCAGTGAAAAATCAAAAANAAAAAAAAAAAAAGAGAAGAACATGCAAAAGTTGGGTTACAGTAGCCTGTTAATGAGAACTGGCAGCAAAACATCTAAACACACTGTGATTGGCTGAAACAAAATTCACAGCTCAGCTGGAATAAGCACAACAACCGCACACATTCATACCTGTAAGCTTTGGTATAATCAAAGTCTTGTTTATTATGTGTTGGCTTAAGGTAATCACATTGAATTACTCCTATCACTCCAACACCAAAATYATTAGCCTACAAAAATAGACAAAATACAATAGTTCAAAGCATTATTTTCAATCATATAAGAACCAGCTGATGTGAGAAAAAATGGAAAAAAATGTTTTATATTTTTATTTCAATGGTAGGCATGTTGTTATTTTTTCGGTGGTCAAGTAGTAAGGGTTCATGACACCTCAGCAGTCATATCAATTCTACATCACTATTTCAGATCATCTGAACTAGTTTAAAAAAATAAAATACTGGATGTACATGTCATTTGACATTGGGTCACAGCTGAACAAAATGAAAAATGGTGGGCTTAAAGTAATAAAAACACATTATGCAAAATGCACAAAATGCATTAGGAGAATTCAAAACTACTCTAACAAAATGGGGGAGGGCTGAGCCCCTACAGACTCTTAAAGTGGGGGCTCTAGTGCCCCACAGTCTCCACTGCCTATGCCATAGRGATAATAGAGGTTTTGCAYCATCAGGTGACGGCAGCCATGTTAGATGGCAGGAACAATACAATTATTTAACATGAGAAAGAACTCAATTCCCGAGAGCAAAGGGATTTTATTGTTCTGCCATCCAACCACAGGCAGTCCAAGCAGTATTATGGGATTGGCGTGTGATGCTGCAAAACCTCTATTACCAGCTGTGAATCACATTATAAAAGGGCATAAAAAGTGATATAAATTTTGAAACTACAAAAGTGTTTATAATTTGTTTACTTACACGTAACTGGTATCCCACACGAACATATGGTTTGATTAAACGATTGCGATGATACATCATGATGCCATAGTGGTTTTTGTTTTGACTAAATCCAAAGGTTACTTTTATTGGTTTGGACTGTATGGTATGAGTTAAGGCAACTAGACCTCAAATACTGTAGCTATATCATTGGGCTGCCTTCTACAAGCTTGCTAATGAGTGTGTGTCTTCATCATCTTCCAGAATATGAAATTGGTTACTATCAACAGAAGTCACTTGCTGTAATATCTGAGTTTTGACTGGGGTGGGGGGTGGGGCAACTAACATTTGGAAGCTTTGAGGATCTTGGAGGTTGTACAAGTTTTTTGATTTCTGGTTTGAAGCTAGCTTTAGAAATAGTCAGATAGTCAGAATACCTTGAGAACTTATGTTGGTATATAAGCTGCTAGTTGCATTTATTTGCCTCCCCCCAGTTAATTCAAAAAAGTCATGTGACTGACAGTAAGCAGTAGAGCGTTTTCACATGACGTCAGTGGCCATTATGGGGTACCAAAACAATACATTTCTATCCTTCAAGAATTTAACTCTGTTTTTATGCAAATACTGTGCAGAAAGTTTCTATCGTTTATGGCTGTCTTCTCACGTGAGTGAAAACACTCTATAKAGCTGGAGGAACTTAACAAACCATATCTCTAGCCCGGCAATACAATAGTCCAGAAACAATGTTCTGGGTGCTATGAATTAAGAATAACAAAAGGAAATAAAGGATACAGTTCCTTGTGGTTTATAGGTGTCCACTTCTGTTTTACTAAGACTTTTAGCAATCACTGTGGTTCTTACTTTCTTGCCCCTCAAGATGATTTGCATGCGTGGTCTAAGGTACAATATTGAGCAGTATGCCTGTGAAGAAAATATAGTTGTGTTATTCAAGTATGTTTTCCTCTTCACAACAATTATAGATAATTATAATGAGAATGTACACTCTTATGGTATATGCTTGGGTTTATACACTGGTGAGGACCAAGYTTTAGCTTTAATCAATATTTATAGTTTTTCTCTCTCACGGCTTTAGTTAYGCAAATTACTGAAAATTATAATCTTTCTTTTAGTTATATACAGTACAATAGTCTCCTTCACAGTTCCCTGCGCCATCTTGAAAGGTAGTCGTGCCTTTGCATCGAATCAAGATGGTGAGCTTGCAATGATAGACACATATGAATAATATTGTCCAAGGTGTTAGAAAAGGTCTCTATCATTGCAAGCTCACCGTTCGTCTCGCTTCGAAGCATAGGCACGGCTACCTTTCAAGATGGCGCAGGGAACTGTAAAGGGGACTATTACTGGGAATCCAGTAGTTTACATCGAGTTCCAAGATCGATCTGCGAACTGTCATCCCATGTGATGATTGAAATTTTAAAAGTAATCCTAGTCCTAGTAGCCATACATTCTCTGTAAATTTTCTACTCTCAATAAAAATTTACTTAACATCAAGATGCTTTCTTATAAAATTACAAA